TTTTTTTTGTTGTCCCGTCTTTCTCTCTCACATTCACTCTTAACATTTACACATCTCTCATACTCTTCCACCCACCGCCTCTTTTCACCTCACTCGTTCTCCACACATGCTTTAACCTCCTAAAACACTACACAAACTGCAACAAAAGCTGCTCCTCTACTAGTCTTCACTCTGCATGTGACTACCCCCGCTGTTTGCCGACGTGGTATCTCCCGAGAGCGAGCAGTCACCTCCCCTCCCTAAGTCAGATTTGTCTCCACTCCAAGGAAATACACTACCTTCGAGTCGAGTAAAGAAACTATAGTCTTCCACACTATTCCAGCTGGAGGCCCACAGATACATTTTAGGGGGAAAAAAACGGCCATGTTGTCTTCAGTGGTGGAGGCTGACGTTGAAATATAGGCTGACAAGTCATGACGAGAATACTTCTGAATCCCTGGGAGATCCTCTGAACCCTCCTTCCTCCTCCTTCCAATGTTTCAGTGGTTGGGGCCATGGCCTCTCAGTCAGGGTAAGACATGCACAGCTTAGTTGGCTGCTTTACTTATTTCTCTTGGTTTCTGGGAAGAATAAAGCCCCCCTAACTTAATTTTTCACTTTGTTGTACAAGCCACGCTTAAATGTTTTTTGGATGCCCTTACATAATGGCTGTGTCACAGAAGCTCAGTCCTGTATTCATGGTGCTCAGATGACCATCAGTTCTTCCCTTTTTCTCTCCTTTTTTTTTTTTTTTTTTTTTGATTGTGTTGAAGACGTGGCCTTGCTGTTATGTTGTGAGTTAGATAGAGACAGATGAGCTGATTAATTTGGGTACAGAGTGAACTGCCTTTTCAAATCTGCAGACTTTGACCTTTTCAGTCTGGCACACTGTTGAATGATTACAATAAACATAGCTGGGCATTACACTTCGATGATAATACATGTCATTTAAACTCATGTTGTGTAATGAGTGATTTGCTTAAGCTTGTTTTTCTTTGTTTTGAAACAGCTGCCGTATGGCCTGGCCTTTTAAATGCAGGCTCGAACAAAAATTCAAACCAAGGCTGTTTTTATGATCTGTGTCTCCTAACATTTGCTTTTCAAATCAGTAAAATGCAATTGCTTGTCCTGAGTGTTTCCCAAACTGAGTTGACAGTAGGATATGGCACTAGTGTGTTTTTTTTTTTTTTTTTTTTTCCCAGAAGGCTACATGTGATTGAGTCCTGTCTTATTTGTACAGCCCGCAATCTTTGTTACTGCTCTCCAAAAGAAATAAGCAATACGCTCAATCCCCCTTAACTGTTCAGGGAAATCCCCCGATAGTTGGCTCAATTCTCAACTTGAGAGTAAGTTGGTGATGCTGTGTGGCATGTAGCAATAGTTGATTCTGGGGATTCCTGTGACTTCGACTCGGGGACATCCCTGCCACCGTGCTGTAGTAGTAGTACTAGTTACTCATGCCAGACCCCTGCTCTTGTTTGTGACGCTAAGCCATTCGTGCACACACTAGCTTCCGTCCACCGTATTGTAAACAGTACACGTGTGTTGACACATGGCCAGCAATGTAGGCGGACGTGCTGTTGGTTCAGTGGTTTTCAGGAATCAATAAGTTCAAATGGAAAGAGCTAGTGGATAGACGGATTTTAACCGTGTTCACAAGGCCGATAAACACAAAATGTCTTCAGATACATCTGCAGGCGGTCTTGTCAGTGTGTCTGCTGTGGAAACATGTTAGCGCTCCCCCTTGGGAGTTTTGGGGAAAGTGGTGAAAAGGTGGGTTTCGAGCCCTGTACTGTAACTCTCATGCATCATGCTGTAAACATATGCCTGGTTTTCCCTTAGAATAGAATTAAACATGACTTTACTTTGTTTTCATATCATGATATCATATCGGCCTTGGGCTGCCCTGCTCTCAGAATATTGGCATCAGCCTTTGAAAAACCCATATCTGTCGACTCCTATATAGAGAACTGTTGATATGAACTAATCCTAAAAGTCCTATGATTTATTTTGAGGCTTTACTCCTTATCAGAATATTTACAGGAAGGCATTAGGTCTTGGCGGAAAGTTTCATTATTTATATAAAGGCATTAATGAACTTCTCCATATAACCTATTTGGGTTTTTGAGGCTGGTCTAAGGTCAGTTCAAAAACAGGTTGAAAGAAGTTTGAGCTTTATTCACACAGTCACATCATCAGCACGAGTTCTTCACATTCTGTCTTCCATTCGGGTACTTGGTGTACTTACTTATTTATTCAGAACCAAAAGCACACTTTGACTATTATTTTTTTTTCTTTCATAAAGAGGACTGCAGTGATCTTTGAAAATCAACACATGAGATGAGGCCTATGTTTAGCCTTTCATGTTAACCAAGATTCTAGAAGAAGAGACAGAGGAACTTGTCAATAAAGTTTTTCTGATGTTGGAAAAGCAGAAAAGTAAAATGTGGTCCTTTTTTTTTTTTTAAAGTGAACTTTTACCCCAGTATCACTGAAACCAATCACAGACATTCGAGCCCCTGTCTGATGATTTTCTTTAGTGTTTTGATGCATTTTGACTGGGTGTAACCCCTTGTTCAACTAATAAAGACAGAAAGATCAGGTTAATTGGTTGGGCAGAATGAACATGAGCGGTGTTTACAAAGGACGCTGTGCCAGAGGCGTTTGATCATTTAGCACTGTGCAAGTGCAACCCATTCACACTTTCAGCCCCACTCCAAAGCTGACAATCGACAGGCTCATCTGCATGTAAAAGTAGTACCAGCGCACTGAATTCCCCCACGGCAATTTGCGCTGATCATATTTGTTCAGTTATTTGTCTAACCCGTGGAGATGTAGAGCGCAGCTTTATTTCCAGGGCATGAAATTGGGGTTGTCTTAAACCACAGACAACATTTATAGCATGAAAGACCTTCGAATGATAGTTGGTACTTGTCGGCTGGGTGGTAGATTAGCCAAAATAACTAACATCAAACTGAATCTACTAGAATACAGCTGCCGTAAATCTCCAGCTCTGTTAGCTGTAGTGGACAGTCTGTAGGTGATCAGCGGTCAGTTGAAGCAAGTTTGTTGTTGTGTATTTTTACTCTTAACACTGTCTGTTGTTTAGTTTTTGACTATGTATAGTCTAAGCTTGGTTTTTAGCTGTGCTGTAACTCAAATAAAGCCTAGAGGTGATAACAGTGGTGTGTTGATAGATGTTTGGATGATGGATAGCCTAAACAATGTTTTCTTCTTTTCCTTACGCCTCTGCTGGTAAAGCTGGTGTTAATGTTGGGTGTCAAACAGCTCACCGGGGTTATGGTCTTGGTTGCTTCCTGAGCTTTGCTTTAATGTACCTTAGCTGTACTGTGTAAATCACCTTGCCTGTTGAGCGATGACTCAAGTTGGGTGTTGCTGATGATGTAAAGCAGGCAGAGGTTTCGTAAAAAAAAATTTGGTTGGAAAATGACTATTTAGGCTTATCGGTGAGCTTACAGATAATGAGTCAGAAGTTGTAAAAAAAAAAGAAGCTTGGAACTGTTTTGCGCAAGTGCTGACAAGAGTTAGTCTACAACATAATTAGATGATTGATAGTCCTGATCAGTTTTCATGCAAGAGCAGTTTAAATAATTTCCCGAAAACTCTTAGTCTCAAATATGAAGCCTACTTTGTCTACCTTTCACGTCTCATTTTACTTCCCTTGTGTTTTTTGGCACTTGTGTATTTTCCTGTTCTGAAATCAGTTTCCCATATGCTTTTTTTTTTTCATCTTTTCAGTCGCACATAGTAAAGTTTATAATCTAGGAGGAGGCCGTGTGATTGCTGCCTAATCGCACTCTGTCAACAGCCTTAAAATCATTGTCATTGACGGAGCCTGAAGCTGTCGTCTTAACCTGGGAGGCGACATGCCTGGCTGATGATTTGCTTGTTTCTAGTTTAAAAGCTCTAGTACTTTCTGTCAACCAAGGTGCGCAACAGACAGAAGTCTCACTTTGTCAGATTGGCTGTTCTTAATGAACACACCCTTGTCCTGTCCAAATGCCCAAAGTTTCCAGCGTAAAGTCTTTTTGTTAACAGATGTGTTTACTCCTCTGGTAGTGTACACAGTTTTATTACATATTCATGCATTTGGTGCTATTTGTTTTCCCCTGGTGTGAATTCATACATCCACTTACGAGGTCTCTGTCCTCAAATAGCTCTCTGCTTTTATGTTTGCACTGCACACATTATGCTCGGAAGGACAGTGAGGGCAGAGGCCTGTGTTTGGCTAACAGTTACGGCTTCAAGCTGCAGTTTAATAGGAGTAGGTTATTATTTAATCCTAGTTTGTTTTATCTCTGTGCTTTTCCTGGTAAGACTTGCATATTCTTTTCATGTGGCGTTGGTGAGTTCCAGTATGCTCTTACTGTTTACTGTTAAAAACCATCAACCTTTCTATTTAAATCATATATTTGGTGAGCAAACAATCATACACTTTGTAATAAATAAACATCCCAATGTATGATAAGATTGAAAATTGCCATTAGTAGTTTCAGCTGGGATACTTGGCCATCTGTACAAGGAGATTATATTGCAGCAGAAGTAGGCTACTGCACATTGTCTAGACTAGCCTAAGCCTATTAGGGACTACTTTCTCCACAGGTTATCTCTATGCTCCACTCTGTTCATGATGTGTGAGGTTTCACTAATGATGGTCCGATTTGTGGTGTACCAAAAAATTGACTCAAAGTAAGAGAATAGATGATTGGCTCTATGATCTGTTGTGAATAGTTGGAAACTTGAACTAGCTGGTATTTATCTAGGAACCGGCAGAGCCAATGTTGTTTAGTTATGTTTCGTCACTGTTGACCAAGAGTATGTTTTTGTTTTTGGTTTTTTTTTTACAGACTCGAAAGGTGTTTCTTTCATGAACATCTCATCTCTTTTATAATACTCATTCTTTTATAGGCATCCCTGCAAAGCCATGAGATAAGAAGTCTGTTTACTGTCTCTCCTCAGCGTGTTCTTATGTTGACTTGTTGTTCTGTTTGTGTTATTAGCAACATGAACCGTGAGGACCGGAATGTGCTCCGAATGAAAGAAAGAGAAAGGAGAAATCAAGAAATCCAGCAGGGAGGAGGAGGAGAGGCCTTTCCAGCGAATTCCCCTCTCTTTCCTGAACCCTACAAAGTGGTAAATTTGTTTACCTCACATTCAGTTTTGACATGTAATTGATTAGTCAGTTTAGAGGAGTTTGTAACAGTGACAGGAAATGAAAACTGCACACACCACCACGAGCATTCATGTCATAATAGTTCTATCACCATACATTTTTTTGAAACATCACAGGTATGCCTTTGCTTTTTTTGTTGCTGCTTTGTTAAATTGCTAAGAGGAATGTTTAGCTTCAGGCTCCTATAGCAGAAGGTGGAATTTGTTTGACATTATTCATACATTGCCTCAGTCAGAAAGAACCTTGTTAGCCTTAAGTCGATTCATTTTTCTGAAGTTGTTCTCAAGAAAATCCTACATTTGATTTAGGCTTGAGAGTACATTTTGTTGATGCCTTATTAATGAGAAAAAGAAGAAATCGTGTGTTTGTCTTTTTCGTTTTTACAATGACCTTCAGGATCCTGCAGTCTTGGTTTTGTTTACAGTTTGTGAGATGAAAGCTAAATAGGGCATACTCAAGATATTCTTTAATACCCATGCGGGAACTGGATTTATGCGACATGTCTGAACAGGCTCCACTGACAATGGCGGTCCTTTTATGATCTCAGGGACATTTGAAGATGTAATTGGCTGATCTGTTTCCATAACAGTATGTGGTTATGTAAATGATAGGTTTTTTAAAAAACAATATTAGATCATTTTCCAAACATTTCTGACCTAAATTCAATAGCTAGTTGTCAGATCTCTGCTAAAAAAGAGTCAGCTGAATTGACAACACCTGTCTTCAGTTAGCTGTTTTTATAGAGCAACTGAAGAAGGTAAACATAAGAACACACCAGCCCCCCCCCTTCCATGTCTTCCTCCTCCTGCACACAGACACACACAGATATAGGCCAGCCAGCTCCCGCCCGGTCAGTGTAATTGTAAAGAGGATTTGAGTTCTCTGTATTGGTCTAATCTTTGCCACTAACCAGATTTGAGCAGAGGTAAGTGGCTCCTCTCCTTAGCTAGAGCTAGCCATCAAAGAGGCAGCTAGGAATGTGTCCTGACAGGTTGGGAATAAAAAAAGGGTACCAGAGGTGAGCGATGAGTGCAGGCCTGTGTGTGTGTTTTGGACCACAACAAAGTGAAAGCTGACTTTGAAGAAGGAAAAGTCCTTGATCTTTGCCCAGGAAAGCGGCATTTGCAGAAAACAATTTGATTGTGCACATTTGTTCTTCTGTCTTCAGAACAATTTTTAAGTAACATGGGGTGACATGCTGTGCAATAGTACAAAGAAATGTGGAAAAAGCCAACTGTTTAAGTCACAGGCTTTTCTTTGCTTTGTATCTCTCGTCTCCTGCTTGTCTAAGTCTTACGTAAGCTTCAGTTGGACTTTTCTCCCCCCCCACCCCCCTCTGTCATGCTCCAGTAAGTGGAAGTTTACTGTGCTCTGCATTAAAGGCCATGTGTGCACGCAGCTGCAGCTGTGGCCTCCCAGATGTAGACCAGCAAAGCAGTAACATTTTTATGGTGCAGGGTTCACGCACTTGTAATTCAGCTGCACACAATGAATAGCACAAAATGATCTCTTGAAAATTATAGCCCCGAAATATTGGTTTTCTGGGGGTAATGCAAGAGTACCCCCTGATATTGATATATTTGGTGATACAGTACATACACACAGTATATAAAAACATATTATTCTATACCATGGGTTCCTTGAATGTGATTATTAAGCAAGCATTTGTAATCAAACTGTGCCAAGATCTAACTAGCCCCAGAAACTAAGCAAAGGGCATAACTCAAGAAATTCCATCAAGCACATTCATGTTTGCATTTTAAGAACCACAAAGCTGAGGTAAATTAGACCGGTTTCAGATTAAATGATATCTCAGCTTGTATTTTTTTGCATGCGAAAAAGGTTAGCGGATGTAATTTGGAAGAGATGGCAATCAGTGTTTTGTTCCTTGTAATTTACTGTTGTGAAAATGCGATGTTTGAAGTGATGTTGGAAAGGACAGGGGACTTTTTGTGGGACAGGAAACAAAACTTAAACAAGGTCCCTCCGGTCAGCGTGGAGGTAAAGTTCCTGAGTTCTTAAGCAGGTTCTTGGGTTTTATTGAAGGCCTGTTCAAAAAGTTTTGAGAAAGATATAATCTGAGAGATAATCCTTTTTACAGATGTGCCATACACTACATACAGCACAATATATGTATTATATTACTATAATTATTACTATAATATGATGTTTACAGTACAACTGCAAATAAAAAAAGCCAGCAATCAATGAGTTTGAGAACAATGAGACAAACTGTCATGATTCAGCTGTTTGTAATTTACCTCAAGCTCCTTTTTTTTTTATCCATCATTGTTTTTTAAGCATTATCAGCCAACATCTGTGCCAGTATCAATAAGTGTGATAAGACATTATATCAGCCTTTTTTGAAGTACTAACAAAAAAGTAGAGGGTATTTCTGTTCCACTGAAGATCCAATGCAATCATAATAAAGCACGTCATTTATGCTTGTATTACAAAGTGAAACCAACCCCCCATAAGAAACACAGGCGACGCTACACTTCACCAGCTACACACGTGTGCGCTTGGCCGTGCTAGCAGGAGGTAGGGGAGTGCATGTTATGACCAAGCTAGTTACATTTCCTGCTACAGATAACGGCTTGTGTTTCCTCACCCTCCGTGTGAATCTGTCAAGAAAAATTAGAGGTCTGAGGCTGCATGTGAAACTGGATATTCCGTATAGTCTTCTGTCACGGGCTGATTGCAAGCATGTCTGCTGGGATCCGTGGCCTCAAAGTGATTGATTAACCTCTGTGTTGTAACTACTGGTAGGCTCTTATCTGTGTTCATAGATTGGTGTGGACTGATCTGGGCTCCGAGTTCGAACAATCCAACTGTGTGATTGGCTGATTACGCCCCTCTATATGTTCAATCGAATATTTTCTCAATGTTCAGTAAATTATTAGAAATGTAAGTGAAGGAGTGATACATTTTCTCTCCATTTTCAGTGTTTTTGATGGGAAGCAATTAACCCAAGTGTTGAACTTGTGCCCATAATGACTGTTTTCTCTGCCCCCTCTTCCCTCCTCTCTACTTTCCCTCTTCATTTATCTCTCTTGTATTTTCTTCCGTCTCTTCTTTCTCTATGGCTGTCTTTTTTTTTTCTCCCTTCATCGTCACACTGTCTTCCCCCCCACCTCTTTCTCCCCCATTCGCTGCTTCTCTCTTCAGTCCAGCAAGGAAGATAAACTGTCCAGCCGTATTCAGAGCATGCTGGGCAATTACGACGAGATGAAAGAGCCGATCGGTGACACACTTCCAAAGCTTGGCGGAAAACCTTCTAACAGCTCATCTTCCTCTGAGGATAAATCGGGCCCACCTTTGTTTGGCGGGGACCAGCGTGGCGTCGGTAGCGGTGGCAGCAGCCAGAGCAGTAAGTGGACTCCTGTCGGCCCCGCAGCAGGTGGATCTTCATCCCAGTCCCAGAAACGCTCAGGACTAGGCAGCCAGAGGGGCAACGGAGGCAGTAGCGGCAGCAGCAGCAGTAGCCAAAGACACGGAGGGGAGGTGCGGGAAAAGAAGTCAAGTAAACACAGTGGAGAGCACTCAAAGTCACACACATCGAGTCCGGCCAAGGGCTCTCTGAGTTCCTCCAGCAGCAACAGCCACTTGCGGAGCTCCTTGTCTGCTGAACAGCATCACAGCAAGGAGCGTTACCGCTCCAAGTCCCCAAGAGACAGAGAGGCAAACTGGGACTCACCCTCGCGGGTTCACACCTCCTTCCCCACCGGACAGCACTCGAGTCAGGCCTTTCCCCCATCTCTCATGTCCAAACCCGGCTCCATGCAGCAGAAGCCCACAGCGTATGTGCGGCCTATGGACGGCCAGGAAACGGCAGAACCCAAGAGCTCACAAGCAGAAAGCTACAGTGGACAGTCGCACAGCAGCACCATGGGAGAGATGAAGTCCAATAGCAAGGCCTCACTTTCTAAACTCAAGATCCCCTCACAGCCTGTAGAGGTGAGGCTTGTCTACATCTTTCTAGTTTTAATTTATTCTGAACTGCAGCTTAAGTACACTACTCATATAAAGGGCATCCTGCGTATTTATATGTCACTTAAGATATTCTATGGTAGTGGGTACTGCATGTAGAATATATAGAATGGCAGAGCTGTGTTTTATGTCTGGACCATATATTTATAATGATATAATAACTGGAATAAATTACCTCACAGCATGTTACACTTGGTCTCCTAGGTCTCATAAAATGCATTTACAGTGACTCACGCTATTGAAAAGACGCTCACCTGTTGCATCATGTTTTTTATGAACATGTTAAACTTGATGTTTCTGTCTTTAGGGATCCGGTGACGCCAACTGTGTCGATGAGATTCTGAAGGTATCTATATTATTATATTTTGCTGCAAACTCCCTCTCTCAGGGCTAAACTCAGTGTTCAGGGAAAAAGCCTACTGACTCCCTGCGTGTTTTTTTTTTTTTCTTACTTTCTTTCAGGAAATGACTCAGTCGTGGCCCTCTCCGCTGACAGCCATCCACACCCCCTGCAAAACTGAGCCCTCCAAGTTTCCATTCCCCACCAAGGTCAGCATTGCACCAGTCCCTGCATTTACAGTTTGATTCACATGATTTTCATGATGAATTAATAAGGCCTAATTATTTCCTTATTACTTTTGTATGGGGCAGACCTTCAATAACACTGTGTCTGTTACCCATCCAGATACATGTTGTTTGGTCAATGGCTGATTGGAACTGTAAAGTGATGCAACTTACTATTGATAAATAGTTAGTACTTGGTGCTCGCATGTCGATATAAATAACCAGAAACGGAATGATGAAAAATCCTTTTTAAGTGATTCATTCACGACACATATGACAGGGATGAAAAACGCACAAAATGGATTCATGAAAATAATTCTCTTTCTTTTTACCACAGGATCCTCACCCTTTTCCAAGTGGACACAGTGAGTATCACACATTTCAAACCTGACACACAGTATGATTACAAAAGAATTATGTATGTATATATTTCTCACATGTATGATTACATATACTTATTGCTCATGAGTCTTGTTTGTGGGTTTTTAGAGCGAGGCAGTTCTTCCAAGAGCTCCAGCAGCCACCAGCCCAAAGCTTGCGATGATCAGCCAACGTAAGTGCTTCATCCTTTCTCGTCTTAAGCCCATGTTTGTAGTTTTCCCAGTATTGATTGAGAGAGCACAATTCTAAAACAAATATTTATGATGAGTTTAGAAACCTTAAGTAACCAGACATGCATAGATGCCCTCAGTTATGTAGAGCCTGCAGTCCCAAAAACAAAAGATTGAATTTAGTTTCATTCCTGTACCTCAGTAGGCTGGAAGAAGACCTGAAGCTAAGCAGCAGTGAGGACAGTGATGGAGAACAGGACTCTGCCAAGAATGCCTCAAGGAACACATCAGCAAGGTAAAGTACAAAGAATAGTGAATGTACCTTTTTGTGAAATTTGAATTCAGATGTTGACTCCAGCTTGACTTTGGCTTGTATTATATATTCAAAGGCCTTCGTTATATTATGTTCCTTATCTTGAAAGAGATGGTCCGGAAGTTGGTATCTTTCGTCTTCTTATTTGTGTCCTTTTGGATTTTATAATATGTTCTGTCACGGACAATATGAGACAAACAACTAAATTAAAATGTAATCATCACCTCAGTGCCATAGTCTGAAGTGAAATTTAGAATTAAAAGATAATGCTTTCATGGGACAACTGGATTGCATTATTTTTCTGGTCATTGATTGCATTTCAAATAATTAATCAGCTTATGTTTGGTGTGCATCAACCATTGAACATGTTTGGTCCATACCTCTCCTAAAGCCGACAGTAGGAGTTGACCAAGGCAAATTCCCAATTCTGGAAAACACAACTGAAAAATGTGCAAATTACAAATCCAGCTTGGATCCATTTGGAAAAATATGAGGTGTATGTAGTGGTTACGAATGTGTACTTGAAATTGTAGACAAGAATATGTATGTATGCTTCAATATATGAAACATGACTGAAAATGTATTATTCCCCCCCCCTTTTTATAACGCTGTTTGACTGTCTCCTGTAACAACAGCAATAACAGTGAAGGAGCAGAGCAATCGAGAGATGACTCAAGCAGCCACAGTGGCTCTGAGAGCAGCTCAGGCTCTGACAGCGAGAGCGAAAGCAGCACAACAGACAGTGAAGCTAATGAGCACCCACGGCCCGCCTCTCCTGAAGTAATCATTTTAAAATAACTTTGTACAATTCTGTAGTAGTAGTTTAGTGATTATTTGTTAATTTATCAACTATTATTTTCATTTGCGCTAACTGTTTGTTGCTCTGTCCATCCTTATTTTGGGTTATTAATTACCAGACATTGATTGTTGTTCCTTCTAGCCAAATTGTTTTTTTTGTTCTTCATTAATACAAATATTTGACTAGGTTTCATAGATAATAATCTTTTTTCAAGATAATTTCTCACATCTGCGTGTTCTCCTGCTCCCCTTCAGCCTGAACAACCCATGGCCAACAAGTGGCAGCTGGACAACTGGTTCAAGAAGGCCAAGCAGTTCTCACCAGCTTCCCCAGTGGACAATAATGTTCCAACAAAGTGCAAGAAAGAGGGCAGAGATAACGGCTCCGGCCGTGGCTATGGCAGCCAAGGCGGGGGGTCAAAAGACTCTACAGCACCTACCCCAAGCAGGGACCTACGGGCAGCGCAAAAGGGTGCAGAGGGTGGCCGTGGCCGGCAAAAATCCCCCGCCCAGAGCGAGGGTGGCACTAATGCCAGAAGGAGTGTGGGTAAAAAACAACCTAAGAAGTCTGAGAAGCCCCCAGTGGTGGAGGAACCCAAAGGAGGTCTGAGAGTGGAGAGTGAACCAGCTCCAGAGATACCTCCTCACCGGCCCAAAGCTGCTACTAAAGGTTCCCGTAAACCAAGCATCAAAAAAGAGCCTAAATCCTCTCCGAGGCCCACTGCGGCTGCCGTCACCACCACTGCAGATAAACGCAAGGCCAAGGTAGCCACCAAGACTTCCCAGCAGAAGTCTCGCGAGTTTGTTGACACGGACTCTTCGTCGTCGGACTCTGAGGGGAATGACAGCATCCCATCCTCGTCGCAGACACCCAAGTACACAGAGAGTATCAGGACCCCTGTGTGTGTGTTCTCTCCAATGGAAGAGAAAGAGCTGTTGTCTCCGCTCAGCGATCCTGAGGAGCGCTACCCTGCGAGACCGACTCAGCAGCAGGTTTTACTAGTGAAGATAGGTACGTCCAAACGGCTCATAAAGCTACAAATTCACACTTTATTCTGTGCGCTTGTTTTACACGTGTTGAGCTGGACTACACACTCCTGAAGCTTTTTCTTCACTTTGGACCAAATGAAACCCTTCCCTTTCCATTTCCTCTAGATCTCAGCTTGCTGTCTAGAATCCCAGGGCGGCCCTACAAAGAGCCTGCAGAGATAAAAGTGGAGAGAGATGACTCTCTAGACAGGGACAGCAAAGACTTCAGCAAACAGAGCTCTGAGAAGAGCTCTAGTAAGGCCAAGAGGAAACACAAGGTATGGGACTTGATAGAGCAAATGTCTGTCTGTGTTCTCTGTTGTTTTGATTCTAGTCTTGTTAAATGTTATTATTGTTAATCTCCACACACACGCACACAAAATATATTTTTTAAAGGGTTATGTTTTCAGTATGATCTTGCATTCAAAATGACTATCTATTCGGAGCTTTTTTGTTATCACTGTCATCTGGGAAGTCATAATTATTCTATTTTAGTAAGCCTTCCAACAGAATATTGTATCTCTTAAAATAACCAGATTTCCATTAAAACAAGAAAATGCCTTTGAGCCAAGAAACGACTAATCCAGTTTTTGGTGGAGATCCAGATCTGGAATTTCTTCCATTAGGTGCATTTTTAAAAAAAATCATAGCTGTGAAACTTTCAGCCAGGATTTTACCATCTAAGCGATATCCTAAGGTGTAATAGTGAGTAGCGAAATTGGCAGAAGGTTTGTGCTGTGCCTGGTTGCAAATTTCTTCAGATCACCTTCTACAGAGGCATGCACACACCAATAAATCCTGTAATGTGTCTTTGCTTTTAATTTCCTGCGATCTTTTTGTCTTTTAGAACGACGAAGAAGGCACCAAGCCAGAGAGCAAGCGATGCAAGCTGGAGGAGAAGTCCCTATCTCATCATAAAAACAGCAGTAAAGAGTGTGTATTCTTTCTTTTCCTTCCTGATTATCATTCACAGTAAGCCCTCTGCACACCAGGATCACTTGGCACACTTGGTCTGAAAGTAGTATTTCATTTTGTCACAGGCAAAATTAAGCTTGCCAGATGTCTTATTATCTGTTCTTACAATTAACGATATAAACCATATAAACTCTTTAACGCGCAACATAAAATTGAAGTGTAAAAGCTCAGTGACATGGCTTATTTATTACATTGCATTACTTTGAGATGCACCTGTTAACCTTTTATTCTAATAACATGTTCTTATTGCTGAATTACCTGGAATGTTTAATCTTTGAGGGTTAATATTTTGTGGAGTACACTAATGCCACAAAACTGGGCAGTTGAAATAATAAAAAGATACGTATTACAATAACAATCAATGTCCCACCAGGTCAAAGAGGTCTTTGGAGAAGAAAGAGGAGCCAGTCCCCTCTCCCTCCATGTCAGGTCTTCAGCGGACACCCAAGGCAGAGCATCTGAGTCGGAAGAGGACAGTCAGCCAGTCCTCCACCTCTCTGTCCAGCGGGACAGGAAGTGGAAAGGAGGGAAGTCACAGCACCAAGGGCAACTCCACCTCCAAACACAGAAAAGGAGAGGACAAGGGACGCAGCACACGCGATGGCAAGGTGGGTGCGAGTAACCTTATCGGCGGGCATTTGCCGCCTGTGTGAATACCTGGCAGGCATTGTGGATACTGGGAAGTGTGCGTGCAATCTTTCATCATGTTTGCCAACTGTGCAGTGTTTCCCCCCCGGGGAATTTAAATAACGAAGGAAGCATGAAGGAAAAAAAAAAAGTTGTTGCTGTGGGAAGAAGGGCAGGGGTGGAGAACATAGCCAGATGGGTTTTAATATCAGTGTGTACTTCATGTAGGTTTTGCATATTTTTCAATATGCTTTGAGTCACTAATGAGTTGTGTATTTATTTGGGTCTATATATTGTATATGCCCAGTATCCATAGAGCTCCTCCACTCCCTCAATCCCACCCTTTTCTTTCATTTTATCCTCCACTTCAAACACCAGGGCCCCCTTTTTTTTCCCCCCTGAAACTTTATTCCCTCTCGCTTGCTGTCTCTGCAGGAGAAATCCTCAAAAGGCTGTGATAACCAGCTGGTTGTGCCGCCGCTCTCCACGGACGGCTCCAAGTCTCAGAGATCCAAGCTTGTGTTTGAGGACAGGTAAGAGGAGCTCTTTCCACTGTGGATAACCCCTCAGCAGGATATGCAGAAAGAACTGCTGTGGGGATCTACGGTTGCCTTTGATGCATAAAGCTGTAGGAGGTTGGGGAGGTCATGAATAGATGTGCCTGCATGCTGGAGAGGTGACGTAAATTTCCATTTTAAAAGGCTCTCTGTTGGGAGTCTCTGTCCTTTTTCATACAGAGGCGAAGAAACAACACAGTCTTGCTTCTTATTTGTCTGGCTTTTGTTTCAGGGTTTGATTTAATGGAAGAATAAGTATATTGTTTTTATGTGTTATTTCCAGGTTCTGTGCTTAGAGAAAATGTATAGAAACTGAGCCATGACAGTGTTGTATAAATGTTTCTGTTAAATGTTTGGGCTTAATTTTCTATTATTTTTATTTAAAACAGAAACATCTTAAACATCCCACAGAAAAAAATTTAATTTGTTTGACCTGTTTACAATTTTGTTTCAGGGTCCATTCAGCAGATCACTACTTACAAGAGGCCAAGAAGCTTAAACACAATGCAGATGCACTGGTAAGAACGAGAGCCTAATGACTATTTACATATGAAATTGAGAACTCAGTGTCGGTTGCTGCATGCAAAGCAGTGAGAGGATTGTTAAACAACAAGGTCTAGACCTTAATGTAAAACAACATCCTGGGGTAGGATTTTGCAGAGAGCTTAATGCTGAATACTGGAACACAGTGTATTTTTCAACATATTTCCTATATTTATAATGTGATTGGTATTTATTGCATTGACTGGGAAATTTTCAAAGCCTCTCTCTCTCTCTCTCTCTCTCTCTCTCTCTCTCTCTCTCTCTCTCTCTCTCTCTCTCTCTCTCTCTCTCTCTCTCTCTCTCTCTCTCTCTCTGGTGTCTCAGTTTTTAAGCATGACGTCCAAAAAACAAAACATAGATGCTTTTGTTACCAGTTTGCTGAAAGTTGAACAGGTGGCATTATTTAACTGCAGGTCTATCAGTTACTTACCTGGGGCTTATGGGACACCTGACTCTGCTGCAAATATCAAATTAAACATCATGTGAAAAGCATTTTGTCCTCTACTGCTGTGTCAGCTTGAGAAGGAAATACACTATTGTATTGGTACATGCTCTCTAACCCAGGATGCATCGCTGTTGGTGATTTTATTTACGCTTTGTTCCTCCTCCTACAGTTGGACCGTTTTGAGAAGGCCGTTTACTACCTGGACGCCGTGGTGTCTTTCATTGAATGTGGTAATGCCCTGGAGAAGAGCGCCCAAGAGGCCAAGTCTCCCTTCCCCATGTATGCTGAAACAGTGGAGCTTATCAAGTAAGGACACAAACCTAAATGCTTTCCTCACTCTCATAGAATTTGAATTTAAACGGCAACTCCATCGATTTTACACATCAAAGGTTGTTGTTGTTGTTGTTGTCTGTATGCTACTTAAGGCGTGGGATTAATTAATTGAGGCTAGCAGCTCAAGGCTACTAGCACAACAAGCCCAAATCTCCAAATGAACTGTTTCTATAATGACTTTTAACAGTTGGTTCTCTCAGAAACTAAATATTTGTTCTGTGTGTACGTTCAGATACACTATGAAGTTAAAAAGCTACATGGCCCCAGATGCTACTTCGGCAGACAAGAGGCTAGCTGTGCTTTGGTGAGTACTCTTCACTGACATCTGGTGATCCTGTACAACTCAAAATTCTCAAAATCCTGGATATTTGATTAAGGAGACTTGTGTAATTACACATATCTCTGGTCATTGCTGTCTTCTTTCCTAGTTTTACATCAATATTAACAAATTCTTCTTTTCAGCCTACGATGCCAGTCCCTCCTCTACCTGCGGTTATTCAAGCTGAGGAAAGACAGTGCACTAAAATACTCTAAAACACTCACCGAACACTTAAAGGTAACTTTTTGTTTTTTCTTAGAAGCTGAAATCTAGTTTTGCTTGGCAACCCTTCGAAACCAGAAGGAACACAATACAAATTCCATGTATGTATGTTTTTTTTCTGTGAATGTGTAACCTGCTTCCTGTCTGTGTACATAATGTTCTTCCCTCGTTCTTGTTTGACAGAATTCTCTGAGTAACACCCAGGCTCCCTCTCCTGGAATGGGAAAGTAAGTCATGTCCTCTTTTGCTGTTTGGAGACTAAAAGTAATTGTAAAGGAAGACATGTGTTTCCTATATAAGTACTGAATGTTGAGAAAGAGTGTGACTAATTAGTTTAAAGGTTAAAAGTTTAAGATTTTCCCAGAAAGTCAAGAAAACAATTGAAATTATTTTTTTTTTTTTTTTTTTTTTCTTCAGAGCCTGTGCAGATATTTTTATGTCTTGTTCTGAAGAATCGTTTGAAGCCACTGAGTCATACAGGGCAACAATGACGTTATATAATACTGATAACCTATTTTTCTTAACTGTCATGTGGTCACAAGAGTTTTATTTGACTTAAAATAGGCCTGTGCAATACAAGGAAAATCATATCAAACATTGTTCAATATTGCAATGATGATATGACTTGCGATAAATAAACAGATATTGACGCTGCGTGTTAGCCAAACACTTCCGATACAGTTTGAGATAGTTAATGGCGTTATTTCCTGGGCTAGTGCGCTGTGCTTGTGCAACATTAAAAAATAGCACATGTGGATGAGAGACTGTGCTTAAAATATCACTTTATATCACTATCACAAGGTTTTATTGCATACGCTTACAGTAACTTAACTGTCTGCACTGCGGCCTCTGATCTGCTGTCGTCTGACTACGGGTTTTAGCCCCGCTGCCCGTTTAATACCTGGTTTCAGTACACATCCCTAAATAAAACGAGTTTCTTTTGCTATCTGTTCATTGCACGTTAACATCACGATGACAATGAAAATACGATTTAGCCCTGACTGCACTCTCATTACTGTCTGCTTGTTTCTGTTTCCTAACGCAGCAAGGCAGCGGGCATGCCGTCTCCAGTGTCTCCCAAACTGTCGCCAGGCACGGCCGGTGGCTACTCGTCCGTCAGCAGCAGCAGCAGCGCCAGCTCGTCCGTGACCATCCCTCAGCGTATCCACCAGATGGCTGCCAGCTACGTCCAGGTCACCTCCAACTTCCTGTACGCCACTGAGGTCTGGGACCAGGCTGAGCAGCTATCCAAGGAGCAGAAGGGTAAACTACTTCAGAAAATAGGTGTTACTTTATTTTTCAATATTGCTACTTAGATAGTTAGGTAGTCGCTCAAACATTTTATGATTTTAGCCTTTGTAGATATAGCTTAAGCTAGGTATGACACATACATAAAAAGGTAATAAGTTTCTTTTAAGCTAATGATGTGTGTTTTATTTTCCCAGAATTCTTCTTAGAGTTGGACAAGGTGATGGGTCCTCTGATCTTCAACACCAGCAGCATGACAGAACTGGTGCGTTACACACGGCAGGGCCTCCACTGGCTGCGCCTGGACGCAAAGCTCATTCCCTAGCGAGGACTCGCTCCCTGCACGCTGCTTCTACACACACACACACACACACACACACACACACACACACACCTCAGCCTCTGGTGTTCAGCAACATGTGCTCAAAGACACACAAGCATGCCCTCACAGACAAACGCATACAATAATGTACTGTATACACACACACACACACACACACACACACACACACACAGTCCACCTCTGGTCCTCCATGTACACACACAGACACACACACGTGATGAACTTCTCAGACATATCTTCAACACTGTGTCCATTTCCTACACCAGCTTGCCAAAAACACTGAGCAATTTAGAGCATCTCACACCGTCGACAGCACCACACAGGGAGAAGCATCGAAACTGCAGCACAGGAACAAAACAAAAAAAAGCTTATCGCCACGCTTCATATATCAGCATTCTTACAAAATCTTCGAAGGCCATGTTTTTATCTATTTGGCATGGAAGCGCTGGGTGAATTATTTGTTATGAATATGCTTAAAAATGGGGTTTGGTTTTTAGGCTACTTTGGCTTTTAACTTTTTATTTGACTTTATTTCACCAAAGTACCTCCCATAAACACCAAAGGTGCTTTAAAATGAAGGTTTCTCTTTATCATTTGTGTGCCTTGTATGTGACCTACAGGAAAACAAACAGCCACCCATCATATCTGAATACATTGTTTTTATTTTACCTCTTTTTTTTTTTTTTTTTTGCTCATTTCAACATCTAGCAGTTAATGGAAGCTGGCAACGATTATGTTTTTTTTTTAATTGCAAAATCTTTTAATTTTAAGTAAAGTCCTGTCCACGCATCTGGTATTTTAGAGCAAAAGATGGTGTTGGTCACAAATTAAAATACCTTACACCGTCTTGATTTATCTGTCCTTCAAAGTCTCTCGGCACTGAAGGTTAATCTTGGAGCATGCCCACAAGATTTTATGGACTGTAGGAAGGGCTACTGTGCACAGCAGATTAATACTTCTGACACACACATATTTATAAATGTTCTCTTTATCAATCAGTGTATTAGTTTTTAACAGTGTACTTTTATTTTCCACAATCATGAACTTCTTATATCCCTGCTAAAAATGGAATTTCCGTCAGTTTTGTTAAAACCACTGTGGTCTGGTTTGATGTAAGGAGCGACATGGCCTCTAGGGGCCGCTAGCAGGGGCTTTTAGACTCAAGGCCTTAATAAAATTGATAATTTTAATGTTCTCTCTAAGAGATTTGCTGTCTCTGAAGCTCCAGAATACAAATCTCTTCCTATAAAATATTTTTAAACTTGTAGCTACATTGTTCATTGAGAAATTTCCTCAAGGATGAGTCATTTCCAAACAGTGTTACACTTTTTTTTTTTTTTTTCCCCCTTGTTTGCTCAGAGTGTATTTTTCTAAGGAACAGCAGGGAGTGTCTTAAGTATTGAAATCATTTCCACATAGTCAATGCAGTTATTAACGTTACAGTTTATAAAAACTGGGCCTGAGTGACCACTAATTCGGTAAATCAAAAGCAAATTTATGGGGGAAGTAAAGATGTTCTGTAGAGAGTCATCAGTGATGCAGATTTGCAGTGTTGCATTTATAAAACAAAGAGTTTTAAATCTATGATTATATATTTCAAAAATATAACGGCCAATATAGATTTTATTTATATACCAAGCAGTTTATGGTTTTTTGTTCATCTTCTGGCCAGGCAGAAGTATAACTTTTCAAACGCATACTTGTAAAACAGGGTTGAACAAGGGTTATAAGATGCAAAGTATTTGTATATGTAATTGTTCCTATTTAAATTTTAAAAATCTTAATCATACTTGTATTACAAGACGGTAGATAAAGGAATGCATCAGTGTTTGTTAATGTGGCACAGCAGGTTGGGATAAAGATGCTGTCCAACTATACAAACATTTCTGTTGGTTATATAAAATTACTGGTTGTCATCAAGGGGGAATGTGGATGGTAGCGGCTTTGAGTAAAGATGTTAATATTACACCCAAGATTTTAGACAGGTGTTTGGTAATGTTCAATGACATGAAGGACTGTCCTTTTTCTTTTTTTTTTTTTGCCCACTTCCTACTAAAACATGCTGGAAATATTAAAGCCTGGGCCAAATAGTATTGCTTGGTTTTATGTTAGTTAATGGCAGATGAGTTTGGATAGGAGGGAAGTGGCAGGGAGTTTAAGACCTGTGATAGTCTGTAACTTTATGGCACTTTTCTTCTATTTTCAAACATACATTTGGTGTATTTTCTGACACCTCATCCTTTTTTTTTTTTTTTTCATCTCAAGAGAGAACAGATCAAAATAATTACTATTTGTTCCAGGTTTTAACTTTTTTGTTGTTGGTTTTTTTTTGGTATTTTCTTTCCTTCACTGGCTCCCTGGCCTTTATTGTAGGAGGGATACTGTTATTTCCTCTTGCACTTGAACAAGAGAAAGTCAGAGGAGGTATTATTTTTAATCTATGCAGGATTTTTACAAAAAAAAAAAAAAAAAAAAGGATCAGTTTCTGTGGAAAAAAATTTCATTTGTAGGCTTGGGATTTTTTTCCCCACTCCTTTTTTTTTCCCGCCTCAGTGAGAAACCTGTTGAACTCAAGTGTCCAATGCCTTTAGCTTTTGCAATTTTGTGTACTGGTTTAGTATATATGTGTATATAGATCTGTTTTTATAACCAAACACAGATGGCTTGAGCCATTTTGTACTTAAAGCTGGAGGCCACTTTTCTCATAGGAATTCCTCTGTGGGTTTTGCTAGCCCAGTCAATGTCTTCATACACTGGTACACTTTGTAAGTACAGGTCCGCGCCTTGTGTTCCCTACACTATCTTGTAGTCAAATGTACAAAATTTAGCATTAGAATCATTTTTAACAGTTTGCTACTCACACTTATTTATTTTTCTGCCCCTTTGCTTAATGTTTTTTTCTATTTTGCCATTTTAAGGAGTACCATTTTATGAAATAGGAAGATGTAAATGTATCGGGGTTGTTCATGATGAGATTTCATTGTAAGTAGTAATTAATATTAATTCTAACTTGAAAGAATCCAGGGTAAGATGAGTTTTGTTTTTTTTGACATTCAGTAGGAAGATGTTAACACTTGCATGTTTCTATTTAAATACAAATGTATAAATTGTAAATATAACATTTCTTTAAGGGTGAATTTCTACTACAGGTTGACATTTTTATTGAAATTTAAAAATGCTGTAAATACATTTGTGAGATACTTTATGCACATTTTTTTTTCTCTCTGTGGGCTTTTGTGTTTTCTTCTCCTTCTTCTTCCAAGCTGTTACAGATGACATCCCAGTCTCTTAACACTGTATATCAAATTTATTTCTCAGTCCTTTTCTTACTGTGCTCGTATTCTTTGTCTTCTGCTTCACCGTCTCTCAGTATCACGGTCGCCACATAATCATTAATGTCTCTAGAATCCAAGTGCGAATATTTTGTCTTCTCTGTATTTGATACGGAGGGCGTGTACTTTTCATGAAATGTATATTGTTGATCTCATGGGATGGATGGATGGATGGATGGGTGTGTACAGTCCGTTATGTAAAACCGCGTCTGTTTTCGTCCTCATGAGAGAGATGTATTTACTATTTGTCCCTTTTGAACAATTGGTCCAACATGTCTTTTGAAACAGAGGTATTTCTCTACAGGTCAGAACAGTTGTAGCAGTTTATACAGTATGTTGTATAACACCTTTTTTCTAAAAGTCGTCTCTAAAGTGAGGCCAGCAGCATACACTATGTACAATAGTCTAAATTGGATTAGTTTTAAGAGAACTGATGATAGAGATACTATATATGATGGATGCAATATGATTAAAGGTACTCATTGAGTTTGATCTTCAAACTTAGGTTATGTAATTTAAAAGCATTCTTGTGAAGTGAGTATTAATTGTGACTAATGAGAGTCTGTCCTGAATATTCTTTGTATTTTGCCGTATTGAGAATAAAATATATATGGATATGTTTAATGGAGTGTCACTTCTTTTGTTTTAACAACACAAGATTATTTGGTTTTAGAGGAACCAGAAGAAGGCTTAATTTAGTCCTAATTTATTGTGAAAATCTAAAAAATAAGCCAGATAACGTGTTTAAATATGGATATTTCATGTTTCATGTTGACAAATCTATATAGGAGGTTATACGTGGGAAAATAAATAAAAAAGTAAAACTTAAAAGAGGTAAATATGTGAAAAGGCCTTATTTGATTTACTGAGCAATAAACTTAAAATATGCCCTGTGGAGCTTTCCTTTTAAGCAAACGAAAGTTATGTTTGCATTCAGTGCGTGTGCATCCTTGTGCTCCGTAGTTCTGCTTATTTTTTTTTTCTGGAGCTGGAAATGAAGTAACAGTCTAACATGTCTCTATTAAAAATCCTCCATCCTTCTGTGTGTTATATTATTATCTAAGCATTATTGAATTTGTATTATTGTTTGCGATACATTAATATGTTAGCAGCACTTTGTTGCAGCTGGTTGAAATGGAGTTAACTTTACATACTGTTGGATAAATTAACCTATTGTAATGCATTGTATTTTATAAACTAATCATAGGTTTACTTTATGATAACTTCGAGCTAGTAACACCAGCTGTTAAATAAACGTTATAGAGTAAAAAGTATTGTACTCCCCCCTCAAAAGTGTGTCATGAAGGGAGTTGGTACAACACAGGCAGCTGCTGACAGCGAGCCCAACCTGTGCTTCAGTTCTCAGTGAATGAATTGCCACCAAGTGGTCATGAGTCGCTATTGTCATTGCTGTAATCCCATCAATTTAAGCCTCATCACCGGATTGTCATCACAGTCACCATGTTGTGTTTTGGTTGTTGATCGTTCAATAACTTCAACAGAATCACTTGTACTGAAATAATGACAACCCCCCCAAAAAAAGAAACAAACATTCACCAATATAGTAGGTGGCTTTAAGATCAGCTTGATGGTTTAAAGATAGAGAAATATGTACAACACAGTTCAACTCTATCTGGAGACTGTGGTCAAAAACAAAACTACATCCAAGTTACATGAATCTTTTATATTAAAAATGCTTCTTTAATTGTAACATATTGCAACCTTGGCTTAAATATAATATAAAATACAAATGTGCATGTACATAAAAGCACTTGTTCCCATCTGTCCGACACTGAATGATGTTTTAATGACTCATGGAGTAACAGATAACGCCAGCTGGATGAAAACAAGTATCAATGGTGCTTTAGAAGAATATTCTTCTACTGTATCCTCAACCATCCAAACAGTGGAGCCCTCAGTTGTTTGTCTAGTTCAATAATAAACAGATGTTGTCTAGTTAATCTTTCTGTGCATGAAACAAAGGTATTCAAAGTAGTTTATATAGCTTTGCATTGCAGAGCCTCTTAGAAATGATTAGCTCCTTTCAATCCACATTGTGCTGCCCCGAGAACATTAACTCTTAGGTAGACTGTAATGCTTTTTCATGGCCACTTCTGTGTTTTCACATTTTATTTTTTATTTATTTTTTTCTCTTTACAGTTTTTACCTGTAATAATAATACTTTAAACACTATTATTTTTTATTTACTTACACTCCATAGCAAAATCTCAGTGTTTAGTTTTTAGCCTCTGCCTCATTTCAGTGAACTGAGCAACATCAAAACAATACAGAGAAACTCCTGCTTTCACTGTTCCGCCATTAACCCTGACTGACCAATAGGGTGTCGTGTTTCCCCAAAGTGCCCGCCCCCCGCCGCCTCTGATTGGTCTACCCGCTCCTCTATTACCTTTCATCCGCTTCTCTCTCCAGGGAATAAGGTAAGCTAACTGCGAGCGAAGGAAAAAGGAAAGCTCATTACCGAGGGATGCGACACACGCCAGCCGACAGCAAGAAAAGTGAATTTCAGCCCAGTTCAGTTTCTGTGTTAATAACTGATGTTGTATTTCGAGAAGAGGAAACACATACGGAGAAAAAAAACTACAGGTTGGGAACCGCGAAGTGACCGGGAATCAGCAGGTACGTGAAGGCGACATTGGTGGCGGCAGGTGCATTCAGTATCGCTGTGGCTGCTCAGTTTCGGTTGTCAACTGTCAACCTGTTGCTTGCCATTTCTTTCTCTATTTCTCGTAAAAAGGGCATAGGATAGCCTAATGAAACTAAAGGAAATCTTTTATTTTTGACCTCTTTTCATTGTTTTAAGTTTAATAAGAAAAATGAAACTGCTCTCAGGTCAGTTCTGATGGGAGGAAACGTAGCAAATAGTCGTTATTATTAGTCATACTGAACTCAGACTAACACCTGTTGAACTCCTACTGAATTTTCTATAATTTGTTCTGACAAAATTGTAATTTTTTTTTTCTTATCCTAAAATATATTTGCAATCTTGGGCTCTGGCAAAACAACTGACAGATGGAAAATTATAATGATGGTAATTTACGTCCCTTTAATAGACAAGACACTAAGAGAAACACAAACTGCTGTCTATCACCACATTTAATTGCCATTTCCATACTTTCTGTGTTGTACATTACTCATGCAATGTGTTGTTGGACGGTATTGTGAGAACAACATAGTATTGTCCTTCCTTAACCTTATCTCCTGGCCTCAAATTGATACCTTGCCCTGAATTATGCACAGGAGGGCCTTTCTACCTAATGACTGGACTATGTTTTATTTAAAGTGGGAACAAAAGGCGCCACGGCTGTGGCAGGGTTGCTTTTGGGGGAAACCAGACACTGGTGTTTTGTGCTGTGGCTGAAACTGAAGCACTCATGCGGCGCGTTGGTCAGATGGTGGGAGCAGGAGGAGCACACTGGCCTCTCTGTGTGCTGCTGCTGGATGCCCTGGCTCAGACCGCCGACCCGGCTCGACTCCTCTGCACCCACACAGTCTGACCTGGAGGCTGCGAAGACACCCTCGCAGTGACGTTAGTGCAGAGTGTACGTGCATGTAGGTGTAACTCAGCAGCACAAACACATGCACAGGAACTCATATGTTCACCGAGGAAAGGATGCATCCAACCAAAAACACCGTTTGGTCCGCGAACCTTTCTAATGTTGCACTGCTTGGATAATTGTGCACACATGGATGCTTGAACTTGTCAGATAAAGTACTAACTCAGCAACACACCGCATGATGACTTGACACAAAGCCAAGACATGTGGCACATTTGGTAACTGCTGCACGTTCAGGTGGTTGTATACATAATAGCTTGGGTAGCTGCTGTGTGTTTGCAGGAAGATTAAAGAAGAAAGGATGCCGGAAACAAAAGATGGAGGCAAATAGAACTTGGGCAAGGCTATAAAATAAGAGTAGGGTCACAAAGCCATAGGCCATTACACGTAAACGTATCCTGGGTGTTGAAACTTGATCTCTTTCTCTTCTTTCTCTCCATCTAAGGTAACAAGAAATGTGTGCACAGCATTGGTGAACAACAAAAAGTGTGTGTATAGTACATATAGAGACTTATAGTTAGGGGTTGGGGACTACATGTGGTGTGTTGTCGTTTGACGTGGTGGGACTGGTTGTTTTTTTTTAACAGTGGAAAATTACGCTTGGTGTGTTTGAGTGTGTGGTTTTGACTCAGTTGTTTACATTCTTTCAGTGACCTTTTACACAGCCCACCTCTACAAGAATGAACTGAGTTAGAGTAAGTTGAGTTCAGATGGGTTCATGTTGATTCTGCAGCAATAAGGAACCATCACGGAGGCAGTAGTCAAGAATAATTACGTGCTAAAAACTTAGTTTGTGAAAAAATGTTGCTGAAAGTGCTCCAAATTAAATGGTGGGATTACACCAACTGATAATTGATTTTAGATTTTAAACAATCTGATGAAATAACCCAAAATAAAGCAGCTAAAAGGTGGAGAAATCTTTATGCAATTACCTCACGCTGAAGTGATTAAGTCATTATCACACTGTATTGTGTTCATTTGAACTAGTGAAGGTGTCAGAGAGAGATAATGGTTAGGGATGTGGCAGGAAGCTGTCAGAGTTATAAATCAGTCAACAGCTTGTTTTTCTGGTGTGTTTCTGGTATTCTTACCTGTACCGTTTACATTTTCCCATAATTGAAGTGTGATCTTGTTGTAATTCCACCTCTTTCTTTGTACCTGCATGTTGTGACTCTTTCACCGGCATTGTTGGTTCCAGGAAAATAAATGCTTTAAGGAAATAGCTGATTTAGTGAATGACTCATTCTAATGGATGGGGGATTCAGTGTTTTTTTTTTTTAAATTGTAGAATGATTTACTCAGTCCGGCTGTAATCAGGTACAAGAGAGGAACTGTAATGATGTTATGTGTAAATGACTCACATGTAATTTTGCATGATTTAAATATAAATCAGCTGATGTGATCAAGTACCACCAGGCTTTGCCATGCAGTGTTTTAGTAAGGATGGAGGATTTAAGTAACGGGAATAACAAGGGGGGACTGGGATACATTTTAGCCACTAAAAGCTACGTGGCTAAAAATGACTTGGCTGATGAAAGTCCATTAGACCTGTTGTTGTTGTTGTTGTTGTTGTTGTTATTATTGTTATTATTATTATTGTTATTATTATTAAGGTTTTAATGGGTAATAAAGTCAGACTTTTAAGGATTAAAAATACTGGAGATTGGGGATATAAGAGATGAGCTCAGGACATTGTGTCATGTCCCTGTATATTTCAGAACTTACATCATGGCGATACTCTGATATTATATAATTAAACTATAATTAGCATGGAGGATTGTTGGCAACAGGTGTGGTGTCCTGGTTTGTGAAAGTCCTGACGTCATGCTCTGTTTCAGCCTTGGAAAGGTTGATAAGATGATGGATGCACATTGATCACAGTGCATGATATCACGTACATGTATTCAGGTACACTTAGGTCCCATGACATCATTGCGGTAATAACCAGAAAGGTCCCTTTAAACGCTGATAAGGAGATCAGGGTGAATGACATTCTTAAGAGCTAAGAGCGCCGAACAGAAAGAGAAAAAAAACCTGCTTGAAAATGCT